AGGCCGGCCCGTTCCAGCGTGGCATCGTTTGGGACCCATTCCAAGCATTTTATCAGATGTGGAATTTGTGAGCACGAGGAGAGTGTTTAACGCTCAGGCTCCATCTCCATTCCAGGACAGCTCCATCCCCGCTGCATCCAACCTCGCGCCCCTGTTTCAGCAGGGAATGTGCGGGGACAAAGGCTCTGGCTGCGTGGGGGCGAGGGGACCGTGCCAGCTGCACGTGCAGCGGTGCCAGAGCCGAGTCACCCTCCCGGGACCCGGAGCGCTCGAAGGCAGCCGCGGCACACGCAGCCTCCTCAATGGGTCCCTTGTCCCTGCAGCGCCGGCTCGCCACGTGTCCCGCCCCGTGCCTGGCCCGCGGGGACACCGGCTGTCCCCGCACCCACCCCACAGCTCACCCGGCACCCACGCCCTAAAATGTGGGGGTGGGACCATATTTGGCTCACCCATAACCCAAACCTGAGCACCCATCACCCCCAACTAGGCACCACCGACGCATCAGCCCAGCACCGCACACGGGGCCCCCGTCACCCAAACTGGGTGCGCCATGGGGAACCCATCACCCAACCACGGGGCATCCATCGCCCTCTCCCCAAAGGCGGGGCGCTCCCTGCCCCCGGCACGGGTCCCCACGCATGTCCCCCGGCCCGGCAGGTCCCGCCGTGTCCCCCCGGTTCTCCCGGGCCGCCGGCGCCACCTCGCGGGGACCAGCGGGGACAGGCAGACACCCCGGTCTGTGCCGGGGCAACGCGGACACCGCGGCACCGGCATCCCAGAACGGGCACCCCGGCATGGGGCACCCCAATAGGGGCATCCCAGAATGGGCACCCCGGCATGGGGCACCCCAATAAGGGCGCACCAGTACGGGCGTCCTTGTAAAGACATTCTAACACAAGCACCCCAATATGGACACTGGGGCATGGGGTACCCCAGCATGATGCATCATGGGGTACCCCAAAATGGGCATCTTGTCACGGACACGTCGGCACGGGGACTGCAATATGGGCACTCCACTATTGTCACTGGGGGGGCAGGACACCCTGGCACAGTCACCCCGTCCTGAACATCAAGGACAACCCAACATGGGACACCCCAAAAACAGCATTCTGACATGGGCATCCCAGCAAAGACACTCCAACACAGGTACCCCAATATGGGCACCCAGGCACGGGGCACCCCAATGTAAGCACCCCAAAATGTGTGTCCCAAAACAAACATCCTGTCACAGACACCTCAGCATGGGGACTGTCACTCCAATATGGGTACCTCAAAATGGGTATTGTCACCTGAGCTCAGGGTACCCTAGCACAGTCATCCCATCCTAAGTGTCCCATAAAGGACACCCAAAGATAGGACACCCCAAAAAGGGCATCCTGACATGGGATTCCTGGTGAGGACACTCCAACACAGGCACCCCAATATAGGTACCCAGTCATGGGACACCCCAAAATGAGCATTCCAAAATGGGCATCCTGTCATGGGATCCCTGGATGGACCCTTGGAGGCTGAACAGCCCCGATTTCATGTTTCTTTCCTTCAGATTAATTTACACAAAAATCACAATTAACATAACCAAGTACAGCTTCTTTAAACCTCGTTGAGATGTAAAACCCACCGAGTGCTCTCAGTGCCAGGAATGGGGAGAAAGCTCTTGGAAGCACTGCCATGGGGGAAAACCAAAAAGCAGCTCAGACCCAGCTCCATGTGATGGAAAATTGTGATGGGGATGTGATGGGCAGGATTGTGTTTTCCCACTGACATTGGGACTCAGCAGCTCATCACAGAGCTCTCCCAAGGCACAACATTCCTTAGGGATACTCACTGTCAGCAGGTGAAGATGCAGCTGGAGTGGGAAAATTTCTTCCCTGGGAATGCTGCCTGCGCAAGTGCAACAGGGAAAACAGGAGGTGGCGTAATTTATTAAAAAAAAAAAAAAAAAAAAAAAAAAATCTGAGCTTCAAAAGCCAGGAAAGACAAAAGCTGGGAATTTTGAGATTTAGGTATAACCGATGGCAGCAATTAGGTTTAAAGCAATGCTCTCAATTAAAGGTGATCATAAGGGGATTCCAAACCCTTCAGCATTCAAAGGAAGAAGAGTGAAAAAGTCAATTGTGTCCCAAATTCAATTTTTAAGGCAGAACTAAATCAGACTGCCTCAGGAGGAGAAATTCTTGGAAATTGAGCTGGGAGGGATCAAGTCTTGGGTCCAAATCTATATGTAGGACATGTTCCCCACACCTCGGGGTGCTGCATCTCCCAGCCTGGGCTTCCTTGTCCTGGGGGTGTGAGGGTGTGACAATGTGACGGTGTGACAAAGTGACAGTGTGACAGCAGCTGAGCTCCACTGCAAAGGGCTGGGTTAAAACAAAGGATTTTCCCAAGGTTTTGGGGATCCCCTCAGAGAGCGGCCCAGTCAGAAGCAGGGGGACAGTGGAGGAGACAGAGGTGGGCACAGCCAGCCCTTCCCAACCACAGCCTCATCCTGGTAGCTGGATGTTCTCCATAGCATGAGGACTCCAGCAAACATAACTCTTCCCTTTGACTTTTTCCCTTAGAAAGAGAAACCTCCTGCATGGGGACTGATGTGTGCAGCTATTTCTGAATAAAACCAACACAACCCCCGTGCTCCTCTCTCTGCCCCGGGGCCATCACAAACAGGCTGCAAAGCCCAGGCTGAAGGCAGAGAGCAAAGGGAAAAAACACTGGGAGCAAGAGAAATCCTTTTCCTTCCCCTGTTGTGCAGTGGCTCAGAATCCCAGGTGGATCTTGGCAAGGTCATGTCTCATTTTTGTTTGCAAGCTCCTTTCTCTTTATTTCCCTCCTTTCCCTGATGCTGAAATCCTGCTCTGGAGGTGAAGGTGGGGTGGGAAAGCAGCTCCTGTACGTTTTGTTTTCCCTCTCTTGTTGCCTGTCACCACCCACCTGCAGTGGGGACACGTCACCCACAGGTAGGGGCTCGTCTAGGGGTGGTGAGCACGTGGGTGGAGGACAAGCTGTGGTCACAGGGACACTGAACCACTGCTCACTCTGTGCCCATGTGTGGGAACACCCACAAGGCTCCATGTCTGCCTGACCATCACCCTTCATGTCACCTGTCACAGCTCTCCCCCTCTGACCTGGGGCTGTGGGTGACGGTGTTTAGTGGGTGCTAAGATGCTAAGATGTGGCAGACTGTGGAGCTGCATCTCCAATAAAGACATGGCACAAAATTTGACTCTGTTGGCTCTGCAGCCACTGCTGACACCCGCGGGCAGAGGTGAAAGGTGGAGCTCTGCCAGCCCCACCCTGTGGAGGGATCTGCAGACCCATGGAGGGATCCCCATCCCTATGGAAGGACCCTTGGCCCCACAGAAAACCTTCATCCCCATGGAGAGATCCCCATCCCTATGGAGGGACCCCTGACCCCACGGCGGGACTCTCAGCCCCCGAAAGGACCTGCAGACCCATGGAGGTGCTCCATCCCTATGGAGAGTTCCCAGGCCCCATGGAGCGACCCCTGGCCCCATGCAGGAATTCTCAGCCTCAGAAAGGACCCGGAGGCCCACGGAGGGACCCCCATTCCCATGGAAAGATCCTCAGCCTTAAGACAACCCCCATCCCCACTGAGGGACCCTCATCCCCAAGGATGGCCCCCCGTCTCCATGGAGGGATCCCGTCCTCGCGGGAGGACCCCCAGCCTCACGGAGGGAGCCCCATCCCCATGGAGGGACCCCCATTCCCACGGAAGGACCCGTGTCCCCACGCGTGTCCCCGCCGCGCGCCGGCTCTGCCACGTGGGACCCGCGGGAGCACCGGGTGGGCGTGGCCAGGGGTGGGCGTGGCCAGGGATGGGACAGCGACAGCAGTGGCAGCTGTGACGCGGCTGTCGCGGGACGGGATGAACCCCAGAATAGTTCAAGTTTAAGGGACCACACTGGGACATCAGCTCCCACCTTCCTGCTCCGGCTGGGCCATCCCAGAGCACAGGGCACAAGATTGTGTCCAGATGGTTCTGGAATACCCCCAGCGAGGGAGACCCCACACTTTCCCTGACCAGTTCAGTGCTTGGTCACCTGCACAGCGAAGAAGTTCTGCCTCATATCCAGGTGGATGTTCCTGGGCATCGGTTCCTGCCCGTTCCTGTGGTGCCATTGCTGGGCCCCACGGAGCAGAGCCTGGGCCCTGCTCTGAGCCCTCCCTGCAGATACACACACAGGGCTGAGGGCCCCTCTCACCTGGGTCTCCTTTGGAGGCTGAACAGCCCCAGCTGCCAGCCATTTCTCGTACGAGAGATGCTCCAGTCCCTTCATCATCTCCACAGCCCCCACGGGCCCCACTCCGGGACCTCCACGTCTCGCTGATCCCGAGGAGCCCAGAGCTGGACACAGCACTTCAGCTGAGCCCCACCAGAGCTGAGGAAGGGTCAGGACCAGCTCCTGCGTCCCACCACCGATGTTCCTCCTAACACAACCACCGGCCTCTTGCCCCCTAGTTCAGGTCCAGCAGCTCATTAAATACTCGGTGTTTGCTCTCGTGCGTTTGCAGGTGTTTGTTGCTTCCATCCCACGGCAGGAGAGGGGCAGGATCCCCCTCCCGACCCCGCGTCCTCCTGAGGGGCCGAGTGGGCGGAGCTCTATGAATGAGTGGGCGTGGCTTCGGTGAAGGGGTGGGGCGGGCGGGCTAGAGGGGGCCAGACTACTTGAGGGGCGTGGTCTGGGTGGGGTGGGCGTGGTCAGAGAGCGGCATCATTGCAGGGGCGTGGCCAATGTGGGAGGGGGCGCGTCTGCAGAGCAGGGAGGCGGGCAGACGTGGCAGGGGCGGGGACAGAGGGAGTGTCCAGACAGTTCGGGGGCGCGTCCAAAGTTATAGGGGCGTGTCTGGAGAGCGGTGAGGCGGGCGGGAGAGCCCGGGCCGTTCCGGGGGCGCGGCCAGACGGAGGCGCGGCCCGGATGGGGTGGGCGGGGCTGGAGAGCAGCAGAGCGGACGGTGTTGGCCCAGGGGCGTGGCCGGTCGGTCGGGGCGTGGCTATTCCGGGGGCGTGGCCGAGCCCTCAGCTGACCGGCCGCCATTTTGTCGGTGCCGGATCTCCAGCGCCGCCCGGAGCTGTGCCCGCGGCCGGGGTCGCCCGTGCCCGCCCGTCCGCCAGGGCAGCTCCGCCCGTGTCCTTCCGCACCCCTCGGCATGTGAGCGCCCCGGCACCGCTGCTCTCACCCGGCTCGAGCGGCAACAGCACCGCGGCGGCCCCCCCGGCCGGGCCCGGCCCCTCAGCCCGGCGCAGGCCCCGCCGCCGCCGCCGCCATGGCGCTGAAGATGGTGAAGGGCAGCATCGACCGTATGTTTGATAAGAACCTGCAGGACCTGGTGCGCGGCATCCGCAATCACAAGGAGGATGAGGTGAGGGGACCCTTCCCCGCGCTCCGGCCCGGGGATGTCACCGCTGTCCGCTGGGGCCGTGTCTGGGAAGGGAATGTTGGTTTGGGAGGGGGGAAGCGGGAGTCAGAACGAGGAAGGTGAGGCTGGGGTGTGGGGCAGGAGGGACAGGCTGGCTGAGAGCACGAGAGTTAGTAAGGGAGGGTCGTGCTTGGTGCTCACCTTTCCGTTCAGTGTGTTGTTGTGGTGTTGAGATCCGTGATATACGTATGGATATATACACATACATATTTTTACACACAAATCTTTACATGATTATTGTAGAGGAATAATCATATAGGGATTCCTTCCTCTCCAGGCCTACAGTCATGTGCTGTAGTCAACTATGTATTCTTCACCCTGAAGCTGTTGTACAGGAGAACTAAGATCCTAATTCAGCTTTCAGATCATTCATGCCTAGCATCTCCTGACTAAAATGTCCTCTCAGAGCTTTTCTAGGCAGCAATCAGTTCTCTGTGTTGGCCTGTTATCCACTCTTGTGTGAGAAGCACGTGATCAGGAAATTAGTATAGGTGAAATAATTGGTCATCAAGAACGTGTTATATGAGACTCCACAGTGAAGTGTCACATGGTAATTGAGAAGTAACGGGCCCCAATGTCATTTATGTTCATCTTCAAGTAGGTTGGGAAGCCTGAGAAGCTTTCTTAACGTTGGTTTAACAGCTGGGCTTTGCTGGTGTGTTCCGGGGGCGGGGGGGGTGTCGCCGTGGAGTCAGTATCAGCTATCAAAAGCATCTGGAAAAGTTGTAAACATCTAACTAAACTAAGAACTTTGCAAGGGAAACTGATCTTCCTTGCTGGTGCTATTGAACTGAAACACAAAATACAACTTCCAAAATCTCTGAAGCGAAGCTCTTTGTGCACAGGACAAGGGGTTGTTTGGTAGTGAACATACCTGGGAAACTTTGTTTCTCACAGAATGACAGAATATAGCGAAAGGACCCATCAGGATCATTGAACCCAATTTATTTCAGTATCTGTAAAATTAATGGTATTGGTTTGATGGGCAGAGGAAGGCAGGGCTGCTGTGTGGTGCCCTGAAAAATACCATGAAGTGATAACAACAAATTTGTATGGAATTTATGAGCCTAATGTGTTCTGCCAGAGTGGGACCTGGTGAGCAGTATTCTTATGGAGCCTTTCCAATATGTTGTGCTGCTTTTAGTAAATCTGCTTTATTCCTTTGTGCATAGGACAGAAGGTGTTCCATCAGCTGTCAAACCTCTGAGGGTTCTCCTGGTGAAGGTCCAGGTCTTTGTGGCATCAGTTCTTTAAGAATAATTGAATGTTCTTTCTGAAATAATTTCGTGACATAGGGAGAATTGTGACCCACTCTGAGCTTGTTCTCAGTGTGTGACAAGAAATGGTTAAATTATACTGGCTTTGGTGCCCTTTGGAGTTAGGAAAAAACACTCCTTGGACAATTTTGTAGGGCTCTATGAACTTGTAGGAAGCTCTTACTTGGGTATGTGCACGCTCTGGGATTCAGTGAGTTCAAAGCAATATGTTGTCTCTTACAACAGCTGGGCTGCAGCATGATGAGATTTTCAGCTCTTCAGTCTGGACTACAAATGGTGAGATTTTGAAATGGATAACTATAGGGATAATTCCTTTTTATATCCTATTTAGCACAGCAAAAATTAAAATCTGAACCAGGATGTGTTCAGCTGATTAAGATATTGCACTGGTAAAACTTGTGTGTTTGGGAATCCTTCAAATATTTTTCTCAATTCCAGAGCGTGGCTGCAAACAGTGCAGGACTGTGCCTTTTCCTGGCTTAGCTGGAGAGAGCTGTAAACCTGCTGTTGAGCTTTTGGGTGTGGATTCAGTGCTTCCCAGGCAGTGGCCAGAGACATTGGCTAATTTTCAGGTGATGTTACAAAATCTGAATGCTGTTTTAGAGGAAGTAGCTGCAGAAATTCTTCCTCTTTTCCCTACAGTGCTTCCATTGTTCACTGTATCTGTTAAATGTTGCTTCAGTGCTGTAGTTCAACCAACATTTGTGTGTCTGAAGATAAGTGTCTAAGCCTAAGACAGACACTGTTTAGAATAGCAAATTTGTGTGTGTTTTAGTGGGGAGGATATTGGTTATTGGTCTTGGCTCAACAGGAGATTCTCCAGGAAGAGTTGTCCCTGGAAATGAGCTACTGTGATTGTTAAACAACAATGATATGAAGAGAAATGAAGGCAAGATTATTGTTTTGACTTCTGATTTACTTGTGCTTTTTGCATGAGGTTAGTTTATTTATGTGTCTTGGGCTTTATGTTTTGGAATTTAATCACATGGAAAAATCTGCCATCACTTATTCACTCATCTCTCTGGGCAGTCTCTTCTTCGATGGAAAGGTTTATTCCTTTCCACTACTTACGCAGGTATCACATGAGCACATCTGGTATTTCACAGCCCATCGAGGCTGTGTGAGTGCTGGGCACCCCAGTTCACAGTGGATTTCTCAATGCAGTTCTTTGACAGCCCCACTGTGTTCTTGCTTGATGGGTTTGTGTTCTTCCTGTGTTGCTGTGACCATAAATCTCACACCACAAGGTGTGTCCTGAAGTTAGAGGAGGCCAGATCTCTTTATTCGTAAATTTTGTGTGCTCCTCAGATCTTTGGAGGAGCTGAGACTGCTGGAAGCTGCCTGGTCCTCAAGCTCACAGCCTCTGCAGCATGTTAATTCCCTGTCAGGCATTTCCATTGTGTGACCCATTTATTTTGAGTTTAAAACACTGAAACTGAAGGAATGGACTTCCCTAAGGATACGAGGTAGGAGAGGGGAGGTGGTTAACACAGTCACTTCTGTGCAGACTTACTCTGTCCGTTTCCAGTGTTCTGGGGAGCAGTGGGACTGCATCGTCCTGCAGGGTAAGCGCTGTGCACTAGGAATGAGGTGGCAGAACAGCATTAGCTCTTTCCCAGGTCTGACACGTTGTGTTTGCTTTCCAACAGATGCTTTAGTCCCTGTGGTGTTTCCCAGCACCAGTTCAAAGCCAAACTTGATCCTACTGTGTTTTACTGACTTTTCACTTCCAATACCTCATTCTGTCCCTTTCATTTGGAAAATGAAAGCTTTTGCTAGTAAAAGTGGTGTTTTTCAGCAGTTATTAGGTGGTTTTGTACACCATGGAGTAACTTCTCCCACTTTGTGCCTACTGCTTCAGGATCTTCTCCACAGCATGCTCAAGAGAGGAATGCCTTGCACCGTAGGCTGTTAAAGTATACTGGATTTTTGCCAACATAGTCCAAACTGATAAATTATATCTGTTCTCCTAAATGTGTTATAAGGGAAAGGATCATTTTCTTTGATGCTGTTTGGCCCTTGCACAGTGTTTTTCATTCACAGTTAAAAGTTTGTTTTTCCCAACAAGGAAGCTCCTGTCAGATGCTGATGTAAAACGTTCGTTTATAAAACTGAAATTATAAAATAACAGAAACGGATATTAATGGATGTGCTTAGGTTCATTCAGACAGTAGCCCTCTGTTTCAGGGGTCTTTAATTTACTGCAGGACACTTAAGGGGAGAGAAGGGATTAAAAAAAGTCCTGTACAAAATATCTGTGCACTTTCTTATAACGTGAGAAAATTGTCCCCCTCTTTTCTCAGAGACTCTGCAGTGTGTGGCAAGATTAGCCATTCATGTTTTTGGTAATCGATACTTTCAGGAAAAATCATATTAAAAATTCACATTTTTGTGTCTGTGGTGTTGGGTGATAAGTATCTCATTGCTGGTTTATGCTTAAACTGTTTCGGAAGAGTGAAAGGAGCAATCAGTGCTGTTGATTGGGAAAAAAATTAACTTCAGTTACTAATATAATGCTAAATGGGAGGAGCATTGTGTGTCATGCTGTGAAATGCATGTTCTACTGTCAGCCCAGGCTTTCCAACCTGGCAGTGGCTTCTTGCTGCTCACTGAGTGTTACCTGAGGACAGGGCACTTGTATTGTTAAAAAAGCTTTTTCCCCCTAAATAAAGGGCTGCCGTGTTCCACTGCTGATTTCCAGCTTCTTCTCTGGCACATTTTCAGATGAAATGATGATGTGGGGAATCTTTTCACGTCACAAAACTCTTCTGGACTCAGCCTGTCCTCAGTGAGGCTGAAGGCCTTCTCATGCTATGGCTTCTGACAGCCTGGCCTCAGCCACCGGTATCCAATGGTGAAGGATGTGGGATGGAACATAATCAGGGAATTTTGAGGAATGCTAAACAGCTTGTTGGTGCCTGAAAGAACAGACCAACTGCTGGGCAGTGCAGTTCATTGATGACAGACAGCTCTTTCAGGCACTGCTGCTCGATCAGTTACTGTGTGTCATATACGTGGTGATATCTTTGAAGGCAGCTCATTATTCCACCCACTTCCAAGTGGATCTGGAGTTGCTATTGTTAATTCTTAGCGCGTGTGAATCACTGGAAAAGACAAAGTCAGAAATAGAAACAATACACAAAGAGGGTTGGATAAGGACCTCATACCACTTGGGGAAGAACCAGTCTGGGACTGGTCTGCAAGGCTCAGTGTGACAGTGTCCTGCCTTACCTGCTGTGTCACAGACGCAAAGGGCTGGAGCATGGAACACGAGCCAAGATGGGGGCTTGTTCTCCTGTGATTACAGGCAGGAGCAGCTGAAGCTTTGCATTAGTGCTGCTTTTGTTAGCTTCTTGCTTTCTCTTGTATTAAATATTACTTAATTGACTGTGGCATAAGTGGGGATAATAGCTTTGTTCCCAGTCTTGATCGTTTTATAGCTGTCTCTACTGAGGGTTTGAAATGCTCCAGACAGATCCACACTGGCACATGTGGAAGTGAATATTGTGTCCAGGCAAGTCCAGGGGAGAGGAAGAGCTGTCTGGTACCTAAGAAATGGCATGAACATCCACTGTACCTTCAGTGAGGCCTGGGGAAAAACAGCCAGAAAAATCAGAATAAAATATGGATACAAATTACATTTCTGCACTGTGATCAACTTCGGAG